CCCTGGGGCTGCCCTTCCCCAGGATTTGCTCTCTCCCCGGGGTCTGTTCTCCACCTGGGGTCCACCTGAGGTCCACTCTCTGCCTGGGGTCCGCTCTGCCCTTGAGGTCCGCTCTCTGGTCTGAGAGCAGCTTACCCAGTTAGACTCCTGATTCTCCATTTGGCTTAGGTAACTCTGGCTGGTTGTGTTGTTGCTGAGGTCAGGCTGTGCAGACCTGACCCTGTTTGTGGCTTCGTTCTTAGGGGAGGGAGCGAAGCCACACTTCCATGCCCACTTCGGCCTGGGGGGTCCTGGAGCCTGAGCCGGTCCTGCAGCCCTGCTACTCGGGCGATCCTTGGCTTGGCGGGACATGCTCTCTGCAACAATGACTTCCTGTGTGCCATCCACAGCGCGGAAACTCTGGCCCGTGTTGTGTCTCGCTCGGTGCCCTCCAGGGCTGACTCCAGCGCTGTGCTGCCTTTGAAGATTGGGGAGCTGGATCCACTTCACAGGCTGTGCAGCAGATGAGAAGTGGGCTCGTTATTAACAGGGCAGGGCGCTCACCCCCGCACGCTGCGTGGGTGGCATCGGGCTTCACGAGGTCCCCGGGGCACAGCATCAGGCTGCCTGCAGCAGCAGCAGTGCCAGGCTTGGCATCAGTTTCTCCGGGACCTGTTGGCACTGGGCACTGCCCGCCACAGGCCCAGCTGCCAAGCGATGCGGTTACCACGGCTTGATGGCTCCGGGGATCTTTCGGCGGCAGAGCTAATACGCTCACTGTCAAAGTGATTGATTTGGTCCTTCAGACGTTTGCTAAGCGCCCATTTCGTGCCAGACCCCGGGTCCCTGTGCAACTCAGGGACAAAGACCGGTGAGACTGCGGTGCAGCGGGTGAGTGTGCAGGTCCATTGGTACAGGGTCACCAGGCCAGGGACAGTCTGGGAGCTAGACATGAGGCTCAGTCCAGGAGGCCATCAATCCGCCCTGGCTTGGTGGTTGGAGAAGTCTTACTGGAAGAGGTGATGTTTGAAATGCATTTTAAAACTTGTTATCAGCCGTCATCCCAACCCTGAGGAGGCTGAGGCAGGGGGATTGTCATGAGCTCAAAAGCAGCCTGGGCTCTGTAGTGAGTTCAAGGCCAAGCTGAACTCTATTGTGAGGCCCCGCCTCAAAAAACCCCAATAAATCAAGAAATAAATAAAAACAAATACAAGTTGCTATCAGAAATAAACCAGGACGGAAGGGTCCTAGCCGCATCATGCCATTTGAGTCTTGTCTCCTCTGGCTGGACCACGGCTGTGGGCTGCTCAAGCTGGACGAGGTGCAGGGCTGGCAGGCAAGGCCTTGAGTGTGCCATGCTGTGGGCTCTGCAGTGACTATTTTAGAGATAAGAAACCCAGCTTGAGAGGCTGAAGGACCCTCAGCATTTTGGGGAGGAGCAAGGGAAGGGAGAGGGTCGGTGCCCCGCCTCTGTCCATGTCTGCAAACTGATCTCACAGCTCTGCAGCTCGTCTCTGGCTGTGTGGTCAGCGCAGTGGGCTGCTCTGCTGGGGGAAAGGCCCGCACTCAGGCTGCCCGTGGGCTCAGCGTGTGCAGGGCAGCCTTGGCTGCACCGGACAGGCAGAAGGGACTGCGAGGTCTCAGGGACTGTTCTTTCTCTGTCCCTTCCCTTTCTTTTCACGTTTCTAAGTTGCCCAGGCTGGGTTCGAACTTGTGTTTGTCCTACTTCTGCCTCCCAGAGTGCTGGGATTCCCGGCACGTACACTACGTTGACTGCAGTTGGCTTTACAAGCAGAGACATTGTGGAGGGAAGCAGATAGGAGGGGAACGTGGCCGTCTCATGTGGGTCTGCACATGATGCGTCTGCTGGGGCATCTGCCGCCTGTGCTCCTGTGCGGGCGAGGTTCTCTCAGCACAGCCAGGGCTGGGGTTCTGGACCCTGGCTTCCCTCGCCCCCTGCACCCCCAGCCCCTTCCTCAGGCTCTTATTTTGGCTCGGCACAGGCCAGGCAGGGCAGGCTGGGCTGTCTGGAGCAGGCTTTTGTCTTTCACAGACCGAGGCCAGACTTGGAGGAGACCAGCAGGGGTGACTGGAAAATACAGAGAAGGCTGGAGTTCAACATCTACCACAGTGAGAGCCCATCGGAGGGGCCCTCAGAGCTGCCCCTGTGCGGTCCTGGCTGTCCTGACATCCCAGTGGCTTTGAAACATCTCCTTTTCATGGTTGTGGTGACTTCAAGGGAGGAGCTGAAAGTCACACGGTGCCAGATCTGGGGACTGAGGTGGACGAGGACACAGTGTCCTGCTTTTGCCAGCTGCCTTTATGGTGGACGGTGGATGGTGTACAGCTGCACGGTCATCACATTTTTGATCACACCTCATACTCACAAGGGAGGATGCCCGGGCTGCTGTAGAAGGCAGCCAGAGCGGGGTGTGGTGGTGCATATCTGTAATCCCACCACACTGGAGGCTGAGGCAGGAGGATTGCTGTGCATTTGAGGCCAGCCTGGGCCACACAGAGCCTGTCTCAAAATAAATAAATAAATCAAAGGTGGCCGGAAGGATGGGCTGAGTGCCTCTGAAGCAGGGAAGGCTGTGGGGTGCTCATGGCCAGGTGTCCTTCCCCGAAGTATCTTTCTTTAGCATTTGTCATGTATCTGTCATGTATCTGTCTTTAGCATTTTCTCCATTTGTCATGATCACACCTTGTACTTTCTGCCCGGAAGAACAAGGCGGGGGGTATGGCGGTGAGACCCAGGGCAGAGGGCCCTTGGGCACCAGCATGCAGGTCCATCTGCAGGGCCTGGGGGTGGGGCGGGGAGAGGAGGAGGAGGGTTGGGCCCGAGCCTGCTGTGCCCCTGAGTACCTGCTTTTTCCCTGGGCTTCCAGCTCCCTCAGGAGAGCTCCTGTGGAGCCAGGGGCTGTCATTACCTGGGGCCACAGAAGGCCAGTGGGGCAGGACAGTGTCCCCTGATCGAGCCTCTGCCTCCTGCTCCAGCCTGTATATGTTGGGGCCTGGGCTTGGACAGGGCGGTGCTCACTCCAGGGGCATGGGGGCAGTGCGTGGCATGGCTGCCGGGCAGATACAAAGCCAAGGATGGAGGCCACACTTCTACGAGGCCTGGGGTGCCCTTTATAATACATCTGCATCTCTAGTGTTTAGTCAATACAGTGGAGTACTACTCAGCTGTGGAAGAGGATACAGGGGAGCAATTTGTAGGAACATGGAGGCACCTGGAGACTATAACCCTAAGTGAAATAAATCAGATGCAGAAGCTTAAGCATTGCATGGTTTCTCTAACATGAGAGACCAAAGTGTAAATAATTTAAAGAGCAAAATAAAGCACAGCTGGGAGGTCAGGGAGGTGGACTGTGGAGGGCATGGGGGTAGAGTTTTACGCTCAGGATGCAGGGGCCTGTGTGGCAGGGCCGGGGTGAGGGCGTTGGTGTGGGTACCTCACTGCTGTCCCGCACGGGGAGTTGGGGAAAGCGGCCTGCAGGAGGGGTGGCAGTGCAGGCCCAGGACCTGGGTGTTGGCCGGTGGCGGCCACGTGTTCCAGAGGCGGATGGGTGAACCAGGGCTCAGCGATAGTCCCTGGAGACGTTTATTTATTTTCCATGAATATCCGAGGCTACGTCTTGCAACGTTGCCATTGTCCCTGCCGTTGTTCGCAGAGTCAAACTTTCAGGGGTCCTGGGATTGAACCCAGGCCCTCGAGGCTGTGTGTGTGGGGCTAATGTTGGCCTCACTCCTGTGAGATACGCCTGCTTTCCTCCCGGCACCGGGGAGGGTCGCACAGTAGAGCGAGGCGTGTGCGGTCTGGGGACTGTGGACTGTGGCGCCATCTGGTTTGCTTCTTACACACAAATCTACAGCCAGGTGAGGTGGTACACAAGTGTAGTCCCAGCACTGAGGAGGCTGAGGCAGGAGAGTCGACACAAGTCCGAGCACAACCTGGACTACATCGTGAGAACTTGTCTCAAAAAATCAACAAAACCAAACAACAAAAAGCGCAAGTCTAAGTCACAGGTCCAGCAAAACTAAACTTACCTCGTTTAGAAAATGCTAACTGGCACCACAGTGTCTCAAAAGCCGATTTTATTCTTTATTAACAAGTAAATCTCTGTACCCTAAAATACAGCTTTGAGTGCCAAGTGCTACCTGGTGTTTACCTTTAAATCGCTGTGATCTGGACACGGGTGTGTAGCGTACCTGTCTTTATGAGTAACCAGGAACGCTTATAAATTGCTTTAGATGCCTGTCCTGCTGTTAGGTACCGAGGCACAGAGTATGCATATTTCTAGACAGCTCAGATTTCCACGTCTGCGTAGATCCCCAAGCCTACCTTGTACCCAGGACGTGGCCTGTGAGCACGGGTGGGCTGTTCCTGCGGATATCCCCACCAATGTATGTGTCTTTGAGCGCCACAAAGAAAGGCTCTTTGTCTTCCTGCGGGCAGCGGGAGGCCTTGCCCCGGCTCCTGTGGGACCTGGGCTCTGACCTCCAGACGGGGCTTCCTTTCCCTGCCTCCTGCTCTTCCACCTCTGGACGGGGCACTCGCAGGGTGATGCTCATGCCACATCTCTGTGTCCCTGGGGCTGCTGTCACCCACGCTTGGCTTTCCCTCTTTCTGCTCCTGGACTCCTTCATCAGGGGACAAACAGTGCCCGTGGAGCAGAACTCGGGGCTCTGTTTCCAATCACCACAGTGGGCATGGCTTCCTCCTGTTCCTGCGTCCCCAAGTGACCCCTCTTGCAGCTGCTGAGGGTACAGGCGGGGAGGTCGTGTGCCCTCCCGGCCCCTGCGCTTATCCAATTTACACTGATGAGACCCACATTGGCAAATGAAAGCCCCTCTTGCCTCCCGTTGGCTGGATGGACTCATGGGGGGCAGTCTGAACGGATTGGGTTTCCTGCTTTGCGATGCTGGTATTTCCATGATTTGAAAAGTCTGCCCCAATTAGAATAATCTTCCGGCACTTCCGCCCCTTTTATGCAGGTAAATCACGGATAATTTAAAAGCACAAGAACCTTTTGGACTGTTGAGCCTCCGCTTTCATCTCTGTGCCCTGGTAATTGCCCCCGGCCGGTGGGGACCTCCGTGCTCAGCCGGGAGCTGATGGAGCAGCACAGGGCCAGCCACAGGAGGCTCCCGGCCACCCCTCCCAGTGCAGCAGGTACGTGGATTCAGAACCTGAGTCAGGTTTCGCTCTCAATCGATGCCATATGATCCCAGGTTGCCAGACAAAGCGGCTGTGATTAGAAAGTTCAAGGCTGAATGCGGGGTGGGGGTGGGGTGGGGGGGACGTGTAATCAAGGGCAGGAGGTGGGGGACAGTAAGTCGAGCTGACCATGGCATGGGCACCCCAGAAGCCTAAACCCAGGAGACTGTGCTTCTGCCTTGCCCGGCCACTGTGGGGCTCGGGACTCAGTGAAAGCTCCCGGAGCTCTGCAGCTGCAGAAGGGGCTAGGTTGGGGGAACTCGCAGTGAGAAACGCTATTGCAACTTCCAGCTTTAATAAGGGGTGACACAGAAGCCTGGTGGGGTTGCCTGTGTTTGCTCCTTTATTTGTTGTTTTGAGACAGGTTCTCACTGGGTAGTCCAGGCTGGCCTTGAACCCACTATGCAGACTCAGTTGGCCTCAAACTTGTAGTGCTATCCTCCTGCCTCAACCTCCGCTGAGCTGGGATGGCAAATGTGCCCCACCACGCCCAGCTCTGGGCTGCTTGTTTTATGGATGGAGAAATGAGGCCCAGAGTCACTGGTCTGTGATATCTGAACAGAGCAGAGCACAGGCTGGCTAAGGTGGCATCTGAGACATGGGGTAAGGACCATGAAGGCACTTTTCATCTGGAGACTCCATTTTTCCCTCTGACACTGTGCGGACAGAGCGGGACCTGCAAATCCCAAAGGCCTCAAGCTCAGGGTCATGTGTGGAAAGCGAGGGGTGACCTGCAGCTTCTGTGGGAACCCCTGGGGAACACTAGAGCCACCACCAGCCTCTTCGACCTGGGGTCTCCACGATGGAGCCTGCAGAGAGGGCATGGGGGCAGGGGCACAGGACCGGCACCCACAGCAGACGGAGCCCAGTGACCACACTCCTGAGCGGAAGAGCTGTGATCTGCTAAGACCCACCTTACCAGGAATGTGCCCAGAAGTGGGCACCTACCCACCAGCTCTCCTGCCATCTCTCACTTGGCTTCCTTTGCCACCTTAAGGGTGCTGGCTGCTTTGCTAGTCACTTGTTCTGTGCTTTCATTTACTTTTCTCCTCCCTCACTCCCTCCTTTCATTCATTCCTTCTTTTCATTGTCTGATGGTATTGGAGATTGAATCCATGCCTTTTGCACTGAGCTGCAACTCCAACCCTTTGTATTTTTAAAATTTTTATTTGGAGACAGGGTCTTGCTAAGTCACGAAGTTGCCTAGGCTGAGCTGGAACTTGAGATTCTCCTGACTCAGCCTCCTGAGTGCTGGAATTACAGGTGTCCACCAATAGGCCCCGTTGGGCTGGGTAGTCCTATTGCCTTCAACTCACAGATGAGGAAACTGAGGCACAGAGAGTCTAAGTGACTTGCCGAAGGCCACACAGCTGGTGACAGAGGCTCAGCAGTCAGCCTCATCACTGGAGTCAGAACAGCACAAAGTAGCAGAATCCCTGCTGCTCAGACGCCCACCCAGCCTCCTGCACAGTTCGAGCAGAGCAGCCAGGGGAGGGGGCTCCCCAAGGACCCTGTCAGTCCCACCCTAAGTGGCCCTAATTAAGTGCAAAGAGAATCCAGGTCCAGCTTTCTCCGGGAAGCACCAGAAAAATGCAGGGAGGTACAGAAGTTCAAGGTTTAGGTACCGTGGCCTGGGCTGTGCTCAGGAATTCTTTAGCCGATTACATGGCTCTCATCTCAACAGTGCCGGCTTTGTGTCTGGACTCTGGGAAGACTCCTCTCTAGCTTGCCGGGCAGCACAAGGGTCGCTGTGCTGGGAAGTGCATCTGGGACCCTGGGTGTGCTGGGTCTGGGGCGCTCAGGGATGCTCCACGGGACCTCACTCTTGTGTGGTTCTTAGCTGGCCTTCTTCCTTTCCCCTTTGCATGGGGCCCCCTGCTTCTTAGACACCCACAGTGACAGTGAGTGAAAAGCCATCCATGGAGAAAGGATGTGCTGCTGGCCCGAGCCCCTTGGGAAGTGGCACGTGGTCTCTGCTCTGTGGGGAGACACAGACTCCAGGGTACAGTCACTTCCGGTGCAGCCCCTGGCTGATCACTCAGAGAGGGGATGCATTGCATCACAGTGACCCCATCAAGTGTGTGCAAGCGGTTTGCACTTCCTCCGCTGCCCTTGGCTTCCCTGTGCATCCGTAACTTCTGGCACTCGCAGGTGAGGAGTCCTGGGATGACGTGTGGTCCTTGTCCTAAGGACATATGGTCAGTCAAGAGATAGAGGCCCTGATGGAGAGTGACCCTGTACCCCTTCTACACACCGGAGCAGCCCTGTCCAGCAGGCCCCTGCTCAGTGACATAGGGAAGCACCAAGGTGCCATCAGCGAGCAGCAGACTCTGCTGCCTCCTCATGCCAGGCCCCTTGGGGGCCAGTGGAGACCAGAAGACCCTGTGGCACTGTCGAAGCCTCAGAGACGAATGCTCCAATTCCTGCTTCCCGGTGTAGCCAGGGCTGTTGGGAATTGGGCTGAAACAGTGTGCTTTCTGTCACAGGGCCTTGTGTACGCAGCTGGACTGCAGAGTTTTTGTCTGCAATCAGGACGGTTTCTCCTGATGTCTCCTTCTCCCTTCTCTGGGGCTAAGGCCAGCACAGAGAACAATTTGTAGGGTGAAGAGAGCAGTGGTCTCAGGGTGGATCCTATGGTATTTGGGCTTGTGGGTGTTAGGAAGGAAGTGATCCATGAGTAGGAGGAAACTGTGTGGGTCCTGGAAGCCCAATTAATGGTTTCAAAATGGTGCTTTAAACCAGGTGTGGTGTGCATGCCTGTGATCTCAGCATTCAGGAGGCTGAGGCAGGAGGATGGCCATGAATTCAGGTGAGCCTGTGTTCCATAGTGAGGCTGTGTCTCAAAACAAACAAACAGACAACAAACAAAGAAAATTATGGTGTGAGCAGTAGGGTCCTGTGAAAGGGTGATGTCAGGAACATGGGGACCTAAGGCTTCCTGGTGGGTGAGACTGTCAGCCCCTTGGTGACAGTTGTTCTGGGCAGGGTGAGAGCACGGGGGTAGTCAGCAGTGCTATGCAGCTGTGACTGTGTGTTTTGTGGCATTTCTGGGAGGACAGGAAGTGTCTCTGGTAGCTGAGGAGGAAGTGACCTCCATCAAGCTTCAGCTCGCTGACCTCAGGACCGTTGCTGAGCACCTGAGCATGGCTTTGCTCTTGGCCATGAAGTGGAGCTCGGATTCTTCAGAGTCAGAAGGAGGCATCAGAGTGGCGCGGGCTGTGCTGCTGGCAGGGGACAGTGAGTCCGAATTGGTGTTGGCCGGCTATCAGCAAGGAGACCCATGGACCCTTGTCTGGGCGATGGAAATAGGTGAGAGAGAAGGAAAAACACACACATGTGATAGCGGAAGGGGTGGGGTCCCCACGGAAGGCAGGATTAGGACACCGGGGAGAGCAAAGCCCTGAACCCTCCTGAACTCTCAGACTGCAGGGAAAATGCGCATAATCAGAGCTCTGGAGTTGATTCTCATTATTTGCTATAAGTAGATTTTATAAAGCCATCAGAGCAACTGAATTAATGAATACAGAATATTGGGGCTTAGATCTAGACGTCTCCCTAGACTCTCACGCACTCAGAGGCAGGGCTTTTGGAAAGCGTTTTATCTAGGGGATGCCATACTGGTTGGAAGAGGCAGTCACTGGGGTCATGTTGATTTAATTCAGCTGGCTTTAAATTGATCACCAGTTTTTAATCCATAATAATCCACCAACTTGATAACCATACACATTTCCTTGAACCAGTCTTTAGTGGCAATTTGTGAAAAGTTAGTATGTCTAGGTCTATTCATATTTACATTAATACAGCAATTGCATATATACAGTTTTTTTACATTTATTTCTGCACCAAAACCAAAATACTCAAAGGGTGACCGATGTTCAACATGCAACTGAAAATATGAACTAAAATAAACCTTTCCTTCTTTAAGCTGTGGGTGCCAGGTGTCTTGGGAATATTTGGGAATAAGTCCATGGTTGACTGACTTCAAAGCAGGAGGTAGAGAGAGAAGGGAGAAGCCTGGAGACCTGGAGAGCCGGAATCTTCGGGGGCACCGGTCTCCAGATGGGAACATCTGGGACATCAGGGGAGGAAGAACTCCCCTAGGGCTTGGCCGTGTGCTTAAGCCGCCTTCAAACCCCAGTCAGGAGAGGAGGAGGAGGACGTAGCTTGGTGGTACAGTTGCTGGCAAGTGCCAGGCCCTGGGTTCAATCCCAGCAGTGCGAAACAGCATTAGGAGGAGAAGCACTGCCCAAGGGTAAGGAAGAGGTCAGGAGCGCCGGGGAGGAGGCGAGTCTGACAGGCACACTGCGCCGGCCTGCTCAGGAGGACCACGGAGAGGCAGAGACGGGGACCTGCCAGGAAAGGCAAAGAGGGAATCGAGCGAGTTCAGGCAGTTTCCTACTGCTTGGAAGTGCTAGGGAACAGCATTGCTGTTCTTTTAGGCGCGGAAGGACACGTGCTCCTACACACACAGGAAGAGGAAAGGCAAAAATATCGAGGCCGAGCAGCCCTGGATCACACAGGTGAAGCAGTGCGCGGTGCTCGCCTGTCATTCCAGTGCCTGGGAGGCAGAGGCAGGAGGAGCATGAGTTCAAGCCCAGCCTGGATGACATAGGGAGACCCTGTGTCTAAATAATAATAAATAAATAAGCAAACACAAAACCAGACAAAAAGCCATAGCATGGCTGCTTTAGGATACCTGTAGTTCCAGCACTCTGGGAGGATAGCTGCAAGGTCAAGCTTGGCATGGGTAATTAAGTGACCCCGCAAGACCCTGTCATAAGATAAAAAATAAACACAAGTTCTGCAGCTACAGCTCAGTGTGAAGGCCCTGAGTTCAATCCCCGGTACCGCAAAAAGAATTGAACAGAAACATTATGTGGGTACTTTCAAAAGTTAGTAATTTAAAGTCATATGGCAATTCCCATAAATAGAAAAACATTGCAAAGCAGAGCAAACAAAAAGAAGGAAATCTAAATGACCGTGACCCATCACTCTAAAATTCCATCCCATCATTTCTAAGTTTTATGAAAATGTATTTTTCCCCTGTTTTTTTTATCTCCTTTTGTCAGTATGGGGATTGTGACCACTTTTCCCCTGTTAATAGGTATTCTATATCATTTTACTGACTGAAGATGATTTTCTTATATTAAAATATTTTGCTGGGCTGGGTTTACAGCTCAGTAGCACAGCATCTGCCTGGCAAATGCGAGGTTGTAAGTTCGATTCCCGGTACAAAAGAAAAAAGCTTTGATTTACTTGGTTTGTTGGATCTATGGCTCACAGTTTACTAAGTGCTCAGTAAATGTTTGTTGAATGACTTCTAGCTGGGTGAATGAATGCTGAACAATTAGGTCTTATTTCTAAATACTTGTTTCAAACAACACGCAGCCACAAATATTTCTGTAAGATGAATCCTCAGAGTAGTTATTTGGATGAGGAAAACAAACTAAAATTTTGGGGTAGCTTCCCATTGATTCTAACAACCTGCCTTTTCACCTGCCATACAAGACTAGGTCTGGTTTCTTTCCTCTTGTCTAACAGTGGTGTTCTAATTTTTTAGGTCCGAGATGGAATTTCATTGTGCTAAAATTTACAGTTCTTTGAAACTCCTGAGATTGAGCAGTTCCTGAGTGCTTTTTGAGCATTTATTCATCTTGCATGAATAGGTTTGTATGTCTTTTTATGTTGAGCATTTTGATAAGAATTCTTTATATTAAAAATATTAATCCATTGTGTGTATATAAAGTCATAAAGTTGTTCTAGTTGGATGTTTTCATTTACTTTCTTTTTGTTGTTGTTTTGTTTTTTGAAATAGGGTCTTGCCATGTATCCCAGGCTGACCTCAAACTTGCAACAATCCTCCTGCCTTGTAGTCCCAAGTGTTGGGTTGTTTGTTTGTTATTTGAGGCAGGGTCTTGCTGTGTAGTTCAGACTGGCCTTGATTCATAGCACAATTCAGGCTGGCCTCAAACTCACTGTGATCCTCCTGCTTCACCCTCCAAAGTACTGTGATCACAGGCATATGTCACCATGCCCAGGTTATCGGTTTGTTTCGTTTTGTTTTTTGAGATACAGTCTTGCTGTATAGCTCAGGCACGTGTTCAATTCACTATACAGCTCAGGCTTGCCTCAAACTCACTGTGATCCTCCTGCGTCAGCCTCCTGAGTGAGCGCTGGGATCACAGGCAAATGCTCCAACTCCCAGGCTTTCCCTGATCATTTCGGTGTCCATTTACTTTTTTTTTTTTTTTTTTTTTATCGGTACCGGGGATTGAACTCACGACCATGCACTTGCAAAGGCAGGTGCTTATGCCGCTGAGCTAAATCCCCAGCCCCTATGTCCATTTACTTTTCTGCGCTTTGACTTTGTGACCTGAGGCCCTGTCCCCTCCAGAGCTACAGAGTACCCAAACATCAGAATGTCGCTGACCTCTGGGCCTCTGTGCTCTCCCTGGGTGCAGGGAGGGGGAGGCCGAGACAGCCGTGCGCACTTTGCAGTTCCAAGGACCGGATGGCGTGGTCACGACTGCGACTGCGCAAAGCCACGCTTTATCTTGTTTTGAAGGTCTGTATCATCATGTTTATATTCTATTTTTAAATTTTTTTTCAAAATAATTTTATTGATTTTTCTTTTTTTTTTGGTCTTTTTCCTTTTTATCAGTACCAGGGATCGAACTCACGACTGCTTGCCTGCAAGGCAGGCGCTTATGCCGCTGAGCTAAATCCCCAGCCCCTTCAAAATAATTTTAAAAAGTAGTTATTTCACTTTTGTTTACAGTTTTTCTGTTTCTTTCAAAGTCTCCTCATCATGTCTACACATAGTTCTTGCTAGAAATGACATCTAAAGCTAGCCGTGAGTACAGTCCTTGAGGGAACATTTATTTTTCTCTTTTAAAAATTTCTCTTTGAAAATCTACCAGGCTAGCTGTTGTCCCTTTAAGGAGCAGGAAGTGAATCCTATTGATCTTTTCTTTATCGTGATTTGTTTTCATTATTTCCCTTAAAAAGGAGAGTGGGGGTACCTGACTGTGGTCCCAGCATTCTGGGAAGCTGAGGCAGGAGGGTCGAAAGTTCTTGCCAAGCCCGGGCAACTTAGTGAATTAGAGAGACCTCAAAAATAAGAAATTAAAGAAGGGGTTGGATTTGGCTCAGTGCAGAGGCTGTGGGTTCAGCCCCCACTGCTGCCAGAGCAAAAGAGAGTAGAAAAAGAAGAGACCATGGCAGCTAGTATCCCAAGCTGTCTCAAATAGAAGAGTTGACCTATTTTTTCAAATTATTTTCCTTAAAAATAAACTACTATTGTACCTTTAATAAAGGAGAAGAGAATAAAGTTTTCTTGACTGATAAAAATATGAAGCTACTTTTTTTTCTGGCACTGAGATGGAACTCAGGGCCTTCACACTGGGCTACACCCCCAGCCCTTTTTATTTTTTTATTTTGAGACAGGGTTTTGTTAAGTCATTAAGCTACCCAGTCTGAGCTTGAGCTTGGGATCATCCTGTCTCAGCCTCCCAGATTGCTGGAGTGACAGATACATGATGGGACCTCAGGATGCTGCATGATGGGACCCCGAGGGTTTCAGTGTGTGTGTCTGGTTCCTTTCGGTCAGTATCCACTCCTTAGGGAGACGCCTGTTGTTTTCCAGCTGGCGTTATGGAAAGTGATGGAGATGTTCGTCAGTGCCTGAATAAAGTTCCTCTGGGATGGCACCAAAAGTAAGAACTGAGAGGACCTGAGTGCCCAGCATGGTGGCTCGGGGTCGCCCTCTGCGCTGCCCCAGTCCTAAAAGCAGATTCCTGACACCCAAGTCGCAGCCTCTGGCAACTGCCAGACTTGCCAAATCCCGAGGAGCCCCTCCCAACTCCCAGGCTGCTGGTATCCCGGCAACCCTGGCTCGCTCGTCACCGAAGTGGCACCTCTGCCAACCCTGTGCCTGGCCAGGATCGCAGACACAGACGGCTGGCACAGCCCAGGAGGGGCGGTGCGACTGCTGGCGGTGGGGCCGGAGAACAGGGAAGCTCTTCCCACAAGATGTCTCAATCAGCAGGGCCTCCCCGACTTTTCTCCTCTCCTTTTCTTATTCTTTCTTTCTTCCTTTAAACACTGTCCTCTCTTTGCTTGGGCTGCAAGAATCAGGCGGGTGAGTGATTCTTTTCCAAGCCTTCCAGGGATTTCTGGGGCGCTGCACCAGGCCGACAGGATTTGGAACCTGGGAGCGATTCCCTTTGTCCCCAGCAGCCCCCGCCAGTCAGGCCCAGTGTGTAGGTTAATAAGGCTTAAACTTTAAAGGAAGGGTGCACATCTGATTGACAGGCTGCTGAATAAGAGTCCTGGGGAAGTTCTGGGCTTGGAAAGTTCCCTGCTTCCTGAGACGCGGCTGAATTTTAAAAAGCTGTCATCTGGGGCTCAGGCGAGCACCTCCAGAGGTCAACTTGCGCGCAAAATCAACTCGCTCTGCTCAACTCCCTTCCAGTTGATCTTGGAGTTGCCCAGTAAAAGCGCTGTGTTTAATCACTTTTGATTGTCCCCGAATCAAAGAGCACAGAGAGCTGCGATCACAAGGCAGAGTGATCAGCTGTGGGCTCTGAGGTGGCCCGCATCAGCCTGAGGACGGGGCCACCTTGGTGCCACAGAACCAGATTGCCACATGGAAGTGACTCGGGCCACAGCCTCGAGCAACAGTATGGGGTGAACTCTTTGGTTGAACAATGAGAAATACAAGAGAGAACTTCCCAGACTGGAAGGAAAGAATTTCACTCCCTAGTTGGTTTTTATTTCCGTGTTTCCATCTCTGTCTGTATGTGTGCACGCTGACACAACCCTACCCAGGCTGCAAGCAGCACTTCTGACCGTTCACACTTTTCAGGGCACTCTGGGAAGGGAAGCTGAGGCAGAAGGATGGGGAGTCCAAGCCCTGCCTGCCAGCTTAGGGAGGCCGTGGATCAAAACACCTGCAACATTTATGTCGATTGGTTTTAGTTTTCATTGTTTTGCTATAATTAAGCTTATATTTAAAACACTATTTTTAATGGTTACATGTTATTATGAACTATCATCTTGTTTGGAAATATTGAGAATATTTTCTATTTTCCAAAGGGCAGCTGCAGTTTACCCCAGAATGTATGTTTCATGTACATTTCCAGAAATTAAAAAATAAAATGGTACAGGAAGCATGAATGCATTTGTGACTCTGGCCACAGGCTGTCCTGCAATTTTTTCAGAAAGGCCTATGTCAATTTATAGTATCAGAATATTAGTATTTTAATTGCATATAGTTTTCCAGCGTTGGGGGTTATTGGGTCTTCTAAAATTTTGGCCACTTTCCTGAGTAGAACACACTGTATCATGGGTAACTGTCTGTCATGTGCTCGTCTTTGATTGCTAGTGAGATAAATTGCTTTTGCCTTTGTGTTCCTGATGATGTTTCTCGTGGGTGAAATATCCGTCTTTATGGAATAGTTTTAAATGAATGTTGGTTTACTTAGGCGTTTAGAGTGTACCCTCTACAGATCAAGGGATTCTGCTTTTGTCCCCCAGTCTTACCTTTGCTTTGTATTCATTCTGTTCACCGAACAAAGCACCTGGAAGCGAAGCTCTGGGTATAGTCAAGGGAGAGTTTCAAGATGCCCCCAAGGAAAGTTTCCAGGCACCCTCACAGCCAGGACTCAGCTGTGTGGTCTTCTCAGAGGTGCAGGTGTGCCTGGTCCAGCTGTGTTTACACCCTGGGACTCAGCTGCGAGGGGCCCACACTGCCTCTGCCCCCACCAACTGGTGTTCAGAAGCTCAGAAGAGCTGGAGGGAAACTTCCGGGAGACGCCCAGCCTCTGCACACTGGACCGCCGGCAGCGCGGAAACCTTGCTGTCACTTGAAAAGGCACAGACAGGCCAGTGATGAAGCTTTGGGAGCGTGGAGTAGCACACTTCTCGCTGAGTCGCTGCTTCCCCATCCATGCAGCCGCCCCGGGGTCCCTTGCTTTGTGCCTTGTTTTCTGTGCCTGCTGGAATTGGTGACCCCATGCATCTCACGGCACCGAGGGTGCAGCTCTGTGTGCCCGGCTTACTGAGGTGCAAGGCAAATCCAGGCAAGATACTTGGGGATTAGAACTACTCACCACCCCAGCTTTCCTTTCCAAAATTCAAATACATTAAATCAAATTTCACGAGCAGTTGATATCAGCCATTTTTCAGATACTATGCTGAACCCAGGAGAAAGGAGGAGGAACTGGGGAGGGGAACAAGACAGAGAGGAGGAAGGGGAAGGGGGAGAGAGAGGAGTGTGAATATGGAACAATTAAAAAGAAGCTGTAACCTGCAGTCTTATCCCAAGGATTAAAAATCGGAAGTGAAATCCTATTAGGGATTTGCTAGTGGGGCTGACCATGTGTCCTGAGATCTGATGGTCAGTTGCTTTCAGTACATAAGGAAAGACATCCTGTGAGAAGTAGATGATTAACAGAAGTCACCAGACCAGACCTCCAACAAGCTCCACAGAAGCAGGCAAAGACCAGGTGCTTGGGGGTCACAGAGAAAGTCAGGGGTGCAGGGCACCTGTGATAGACAGGGAGGGACCAGTTCTGACCCCACTACACCTGAGTTCCTGGCTGCCCTGGGCAGTGGAGGAGCAGCACGGGGGTTTGGCCTGTGGTCACTCAGAGACGGGGGACAGGTCCATGTGGTGTTTATCTGCTATCTAAAATACAGCAAATGTTTAAATTTTAAAAAATGTTTCTGTAAAAGACCCATCACCATGAATCCCCTCAACATCTTCCCCTGGCTTCCAGCGCACTGGTCTCCTCATCCTTGCCGCTTCACACAGCAGCTCTGCAGGCTTCTTTCCTGAAGGTCTTTGGCTGTGCCATCCTGGCTGCCTCCATGTCCTGGATTCAAAATGTTTCCCTTTCGTGGTCTTGTTGACTCTGGGGAAGAGCCAGAAGTCACAGGGTGCCAGATCTGGTGACTGAGGTGGATGAGGAGGACACAGTGTCATGTTTTTCCGAGCTGTCTTTCCTGCCAAGAAAGGCACTGAGTGGCCCCAGGGCTGTGCTGCCTGGCTGGCTAGGGTTTTATCTCCCCCCACTGCATGTCGGCATCCTCCTTGGGAGTTAAGCTCCTGCCATAGTGTAAAATATCCACTTGGTCTGCTTCCCTCCTGGAATCCTTGGAATCCCCAAAATGCTAAGCATCCTTTCTCTATGCCAATCGGTGTGCTGATTGGTGGCCGCCATCCCTCATGGTCACAGGAAAGACCGAGGCAGGATTGGATGGTTGGCTCTTTGAGTTCTAGCCTCCAACCTCTGAGGAGAGAGAGGAGATGAAGGTTAAAATGATCACAAATAGCTAGAGATGTAATTATCCATGTCTACAATAAAGCCTTATGAAACAGATGTGAAACAGACATGCAATAGACATGAACTAGACATGCAATATGGAATAGTCATGCGACAAAGCCTCCACGCAACCCGATGGATAGGGTCTGGAGTGTGCCCCCAACCCGAGCTCTGTGCAAGGTTTCTGAAGGGCGTTGCGTGTGGCTGGCACAGTGAGGTGAACGCCTCTTCCCTGTGCTTTGTGCTTGCAACCCTGCCTTGGTACCTTGTGCAGTGTTCCTTATCACAAACCAGGAAATGAGGTTGGCAAGCTGCTTTAACAAATTAACAGAAGGCAGGGGCTGGAGATTTAGCTCAGCGGCATAAGTGCCTGCGTTGCAAGCAGGCAGTCGTGAGTTCGATCCCTGGTACCCATAAAAATGAAAAAGACAAAAAAAAAAAATTAACAGAAGGCAAGAAGGGGCTCACGGGAACCGGGACTTCCAGCCCACTGGTCAGTTGTACAGACCAGACAACATGGGATGTGACCGGCCTCTGAAGCTGGGGCGAGTCCTGTAAGAACGAGCCCTCACTGTGGGGTCTGATGCCATGTCCAGGAGGAGAGTTCCAGAACTGAGCTAGATCAGAGCACGCTAGCGGGGGTCACGACAGAGCTCACTGACTGCTAGCGAAAGGAATCTCGTGCATGTTTTGGTGGCCAGGAAGAAGCACTGTGTGCAGGCTGTTGAGAAGGAATGGAGAAAGCTCCCTCCATCTCCCCAAGGCTTCCCCGGGTCTTTCCTTTGACCTCTTGCTTTTGCTCTGTCTATAGCTGTTACATGCCCTTCACCTTTGGTCTACTGTAATTTACTAGGGATTTGGATATTATTTTTAATCAAACACCTAACACGTGCATATTTATTAAAGGAATATGTCTGTGTATTCACATAGATTTATATGTGAGGGATAAAAAGCTCCCTGAATGGAGTCTTTAGCCCCACGGGAGGGTAAGGATCTTGTCATGGTCTATATCTAAGGTGTCTCCCCAAAGTCTCAGGTGTGTGGAAGACAATGGATCATGGGTGCTGTGCTCATCAGGAATCCATCATGGTGGTGCTCAGAGCTGACTGTGCTGCAGGAGGCGGAGCCTGGTTGGAGGCTGCCCTTGGGGTGTGACCTGGAAGGGTGTGTCTCCCCGGCTCTGCGTCTCTTTCTCTCTCCTTAGCTGCCATGAGGTGAGTTGCTTTCTTCTTCTGTATCCTTCTACTATGATGTCTGAGCCTTCAAGCCAGCCAGCTATGGACTGAATCTCCTGAACTGTAAGCCACATCACACCCCTTCTCCGGTATAAGACTGTATTAGTGTGCTTCTTTGTTGCTGGAACAAAATGCTTGGCACCCTCAACTTAAGGAGAGGTTGAAGTTCAGTGTGGTGGCACGTGCCTGTAATCTTAGCATTCAGGAGGCTGAGGCAGGAAGATTGCTGTCAGTTTGAAGGCAGCCTGGGCTACATAGAGAGACTTTGTCTCAAAAAACCAAAACCAACCAATCAAACAAAACCCAAAAAGAGAAAAGGTGAATCTGATCCACAGTTCAGGGGATTCAGTCCCTGGTCAGCTGATCCAAGGAATATCATGGAGGCAGTCATCGTGGAGCAAAGCTGCTCAGTTCATTGTGGCCAGGAAGCAGAGCAGGGGACAGCACCAGAGAGGAAGGGCAGAGACCAGATACAGACCTATGGTCACCCTCCAGGATCCACCAGACACACCTGGAGTGAGCCCCACCTATGCCTGGGTGATTCCCAAGCTAATCAGATGACAATCTTAAGTGTCACAGAACCCAAGGTGGGATGATGGGGTGAGAATTGAGGCTGAAGGTCCCAGAGGGCTGTAACCCAGTTGAAGATTCATAACCTAGAGTCAAGGATGAGTTTGGGACCAGGATCAGAGAGACCCTGTCAGAGGCCTTGAATTTTTATAACTTCTTCATATTGAGAGATGTTTTCAGTTTTTTTTTTTTTTTTTTTTTGGTAATTCCTGTTGGTTGAGTGGGGCTTACTTGTTTGTTATTTTAAATTAGTTAAAGTTAAATTTAAGCTATTTAAATGTGCAGTCTTGCTTTAGCGATGGTTGGTTAAGTCCCTGCAATGCACGAGGTCTTTCTCTGAAGTCCGGCCTCCGTGCCCCTGGGGGACCTGAGTCTCTAAGTGATTGATTGCTCTTCTGGTGCCTGCTGGTGCTGCAGTGTGAGTCTAGTTCTGCTGCTAACTCAGCAAATGGCCCTTCCTGGGTCAGGCGTCCTTTAATATCCTCCCCAGAGACGAGGGCTCCAGGGAGTTCTGGGAAGTGGGGTGTTGGTGAGATGATGGGAGAAGTGGGTATGAGGCCCAGGGAAGGGGTACGAAAGAGCTTTTGCTAGTAGGGACGAGAGGAGAGGTGTACATCCAGGACTGACTCTGAGAGACCCCCCAGTGCCTGGCTCCCTGTCGTCTAGGACTTGAAGGTGGACGTCAGCTGCCCCCATGGGACCTGAATGCTGTAGTTCTATGGCCATGCCTCAGCAGGAGTCCTGTGGGGGTTACCAGCTCTCAGGGCACCGAGAGGTACAAGTGCTACCTGGGCTCCTCTCCCAAGGCAGAGGGCCATGCAGGCTCTGGTGTGTCACACAGGTGGCGGGTTTCCTTCCTTCTTTTCTCCTCTCTCCTTACACACTTGCTGCAGAGCACCTCTCCACCCCAGCCATGCACCTGCACAGAGCACACTGTCTCACGCCCTGGGGGAGGCACAGAAGCCGCCTGTGTGGACACCGTGGCGGTCAGCTTTTGGTGCCCAAGGAGGCCCCACCCATGCTGGGGCGGTGGGAACTGACTCAGGGATCAGAGGCAGAGAGGACAAGCCAGGATCTTGGCATTCGGAGTGGCAGCTGGAGTTTGGGCAGTTGCAGAAGCTCACGGTGGTGTGGAGGGATTGGGGGTCACAGGCCAGGCCCCATCTCTGCAGGAGGGGGGCCCTGCCTTTGCCTGTGAGGAGCCAATTGAGCAAGTGTCTGGCAAGGTCTGATTTACCCAACACAGTGAAGGCTGTGTGTCTGGCAGTTGGATGGAGGCTGTGAGAGTAAAGGAGAGCAGGATGCTCACACGGGGGCTCTTGAGTCTCATGGTAGAGATGACCCTTCGGGGTCTATTGGCATACAGCCTTGGCGTTCTGGGCAGGCCCAGGATGTGCAATGTGGCTCAAAGCAGCAGAAGCTGAAATGCTGCACTGTCTCAGAGTGTCCCAAGAAGGCAGATTCCCTCAGCGGCTCTCAGAACCAAGGTTCTTGCCGACTGGGTTGTAAAAATCAACTGTTGTTTTTGTACAGTAGTTTTAAAAATGTGTGGCTTCAGCTCAGCAGAGTAGTGTGCATCTATAATCCTAGCAATCTGGGAGGCTGAGGCAGAAGGATTACAAGTTAGAGCTCAGACTGGGTAACTTAGTGACTTAGGGAGACCCATCTAAAAATAAAAAATAAAAAAAGGACTGAGGATGTAACAGTGCAAAGGCCCAGGGTTTAATCTCCAGTACACAAAATAGAAAAGAAAATTTCTTTTCCAGTCTCCCGAGTACCTTACAGCCTTTGCACAGAACCCAGCAGGCAAGAGGCACGGAGGACTGTACAGATGACACCAAGCCCTGGGGGTGTGTGCACAGCTCCTCTCCGGGTCTCCCGCCTTCCTAGCCCTCTATCCTGTGGCAATTACTTCCCTGTGCTTGAGGGCTTAGGCCTCCAGCTGGCTCCTGTGCGGGACACCCCACTGGCTCCTTGCTGAGGACTCAGGGTGACCGAGATCTTTTGCTCCGAATCTCA